TATCATTTTTAATTATTAACATTTTCTACAACGAATTGTTACATTATAGAAATGATCTGAAAAGATATCAATTACACGGAGAATGGATCAGCCGACACAAGTGCAATTGAAAATGAACTCCCCGACCTAAAAGCAATTATCAGTTCCTATAGACCAGAATGTGTCTATAATATGGATGAAACAGGATTATTCTTTCGGTAAGTATAATACTTTAACAATATTTGAATATGTTACTAACAAAGTTTAATAACATATAGACTTGAACCTGACACAATCCTGGCGACGAAACGAATCGAGGGAAAAAAGAGGGACAAGGAACGTTTAACTATTGTACTTTGTTGTAATGCTGATGGAAGTGATAAACTTCCTCTTTTTGTTATTGGAAAATTTTTAAAACCTCGATGTATGAAAAATGTTAATATAAATAATCTCGGAGTTACTTATAGAGCGAATGCTAAAGCATGGATGACTGCGGTTCTATTTCAAAAGTAAGTAAATTATTCAAAATAACGAACGTATTTCTGTAAAGTTTAATAATCGTTAATTATAGATGGCTAAGGCTATTTGATCAAAGAATGGATGGTAGAAAGGTCTTATTACTACTTGACAATGCACCTTGTCACATAATCAAAGGGTTGGAGTTAAAGAATACGCAAATTAAATTTTTACCACCAAACTCGACATCGAGAGTTCAACCTTGCGATGCCGGTATTATTGCGGCTTTCAAGAAACATTATCGACGTCGATTTGTATATTACCTTCTTGAAAATTTTGAGAATAATGAACAAGCTCCTAAACTTAACGTTTTGGAAGCCATATTTATTGTTTATGAGATCTGCTTGGAGAGATAGCGTTACAGTTAATACTATTGCCAATTGTTGGAGGCATACTGGTATTATTGATTTTGATTACAATGAGGAGATAGAGCAAGGCGAAGAACAAATAACTTTCGAGATAGAGAGAAATATTACCGCCTTAAGGTATTTAATATTTTTAACTTTAATGTTAAATGTTTTATTATTATATTATTGCTATTGCATTATTACGCGTATTTAGATACAGAAACCCTATGATAACAGAAGATTTCTTGAATTATGTTGAAGAGCATGAAATAGAAGAACTTGTGAATGAGGAGACAATAATTCAATTAGTTCAAGGCGGTGAAAATCATGATGAGGGAGAAGATAATGAGGGAGATGAGGAGGGAAATGAGTTGCCAGATGTTTCTGCTAAGGAAGGATTGAAAGCGTTAGAAATAGTCAATATGTTTTTGTTGCAACAGTCTAGAGACTGTTCAGATGAGATTAGAAAGTTAACTAGCATAAAAAATACCATGCAAATGATGTATTTTGAGTCTCTGAAACAAAGCGATGTCAGTAGTTTTTTACGCCACAATAATAAAATTTAAATCGTCTGGTTGATCTCTCCTTTTACAGTATGCATATGCAAATATACGTTGGTGGGACTTACTAGAGTTAGGGCCAGCTTGATGCATATGCACGTTCACGTTATGCAAATAGCTAATAGGTCCCACTAAGGACCGGGGCTCCTTTATGCAAATGAACAGATTATGCAAATACACGTTATGCAAATAGACAGGTGCGACTGTAGTCGCGTTACAAAATATACGAGATATTCGATGACCATTTTTGTGTTGTATAATTTTGATCGAGATATAGTTTCGGATAAGTAATCGCATTGTAAAATATAATACATATGTGTTAGTATACTTAGAGACTGCTTATGTCGAAAAATTTTGGGCCACCAAAGATTTCTACTGAATGAGTACTATTTCGAATAAAATACCAGCGTTCTGAAATAATAATATATAAAAATGTACCAATAGGGATAGTATTTTAAAAATTGATGGGCCACCAAGGAATAATTATTACAAATAAAAGATATATAAAATTGTGCTTTGATGGGTCACCAAATAAGTATTATTTCGAGTAAAAAAGTGGGACACCAAGGTATAATTATTACAGATATACTGTATATATATAATAAAATTATGCTTTGGTGGGTCACCGAGTAAGGATAACAATTCGGCACTACGTGCCTCATCATCGGATGCTTTGGTGTATTATCAGATATGTTAACAATGCGGCACTACGTTTCTCATCCTTGATCGATATTCGAGTGCATTATAATAGTTAGCAATTCGGCACTACGTGCCTCATCCGTGATCGATATTCGAATGAATTATGCGAAGCTAACAACTGCTAACAATTCGGCACTACGTGCCTCATCATCGGATGCTTTGGTGTATTATCAGATATGTTAACAATTCGGCACTACGTGCCTCATTATCTGGCGATTAATTTTTTCATTAAATAATCTGTGCAGTATATAAAATGACAACAGTGCAAGATCGCAAGAGCAAGCTAACTCGAACTATCGATAAAATTATAACGCAAAAGATTGAGGAGGCAGACTGCACTATTAAGCCTATAAATAAACTCTTAATACAGAAGATTGGAAAGGGTTTCAAAGCTTATATAGAAAAGCTAGATGAAGAATACGATTCTGAGTCGGGTTTCGATCTCGAAAATGAATTAAAAGACATTATATCTATTCGTAAACCTGCAATCAAGAACCCTGTTACTACCAATGATATATAAATCGCGAGATATACTTTTTTTTTTGCTCATGTGACCTAGTGATGGAAATTGGCTACGAATACCAAACTAGCATACAAATAATGCTATCGAATTTGAGTTATAATAGAAACCGCAAAAGGATTAGGCTAGGGCGTCATAACCTAGATCGGGTATTTCTTTTCAATGGTAATCGATTAGAAAAATTAAGCTGATATGCGAATTTTATATAAGTGATTAAAACATTATTGATATCGAATTTGACTTTCTAAAAAGTATACGACTAAGTGTGACGACGCGACGTGAACATAAAATTGGCGTCATATTTTTTATAGATCGTGGGGTATCTAAGTATGACGACGCGAACACAAATTTGTTGTCATATTTTTTAATAGATTATGGGTATCCAAGTGTGGCGACAGATTCGTGAACTAATCATCACTCGAATGACGACACCTATATTATCACATCTTTGACGAGGCAAACGCAAAATGCTCGTCACTCGAATGTCGATACAAACGCAGTCGGGAATGAAAGTGTGAGAGTGTGCATTTAGGGAATAATGCATTTAGAGAGTGCATATCAAATTCACGTGATTTTTACAACTTTATTTCATTGGTTAAAATATTGGTCTATATTTGTCTGTCGCAACATACTATTTTTTCTCTCTCTCTAATATATCTCTCGAGAATATTTGTCAATTTGATATATTCACTTGCATTTTCTTGCTGAATTAGAAATTCTGTACAGTCTCTAAACTTTCCAATGCCCTACTAGCACTGACAGCTGTCATTTCAGTACTGTCGTCTGCTTCTTCTGAATTACTACTGCTTTCTCCTATTTTGAATATATCTAC